ATCATGATCATAAGCACCCTAGTACGTGTTTACGAGGTGAGTGTTAGTTTGTGCCCATCGTATGGTGATTTTTGCACGCGTACATAGCAAAGTGATAGTGCTTGCGTTATTGTGAAGCGTTGTTTAATGTGCGTGCATATCTATTCAACCTTTGTGCTGACGGTAAGATGTGCTCAGTGTGTTCATGATTAAGTGTTCGTGCTTAATTGAGCATGCATACGTAATTAACATTGTGCTGATGACAAAGTGTCGTAAGCAGTAACTTAACCGCCCTAGTGCTCATGTTTACCGATGTTTTATATAAAATTGTCAACGATTCAGTGTAGTTCCCTTTAAAAGTGCGTGTGCCTAGTGAACATGCCTGCCGTGCACATCAGTGCGTGATATTTTAGAATGTGGTTTGTCCTTACTGTGCTTGCGCTTCACTTACCGTGCATGTGCTTACTGTACTTTCCATGCCCGTGCTATGCATTCATCACTATTGCGTGCGTTTTGATTGTGCTTGCCGTAGTTATATTACTTGCTATGGTATATCTGCTTAATAAGTAATATGCGTACACGTGATAACCGTACCTTGCTTATTGTGCTTACCATGTTTACTAAAGTACATACTGTGCGTACGTGTGATAGCAGTACTCTAATTTACTGTCTACCGTGATTGTTGTGTGCATAGTGACAATTAAAAAACGTGTTAATATTAACTATGCGTCTACGGTAATGACAGTGGAGGACCAGGTGCAATGACGCTGCTTTCGGCAGTGCGTCGCCTTCACTTCACACACACACACACACACACACACACACACACACAACACACTCTTTTTTAGTTTAAGATATTATTTTTAAGTCTCAGTTTAAAGTCAAATATTTGACTTTAAACTGAGACTTAAAAATAATATCTTAAATTTCCTGTGTTTTTCGTTCTTAGCTTTTTCTTTTTTCTTTTTAGGAGGTCGTGGTCCCTCTTTCTGTATATTCTCGGAGTTTGCAATCATGTACTCGCCTGCTGTCTCTTATAAAGGATGCATATACCAATCCTCTCTCATTTCAAATATCATTTTTGGTGATTCTGGTGCTAACTCCCTAGTCTGGCGACAATTCTCGAGTTCCCCTCCACCTGAGCGCCAAGCACAGTCAGCACCTCCCCCCTGATATTAAGGTCACCAGTTAGAGGTCGGCACACGCCCGGCGACCCGAGACCTGGCTAGGGAGGCCTTGCCTCGCTCAGCTGTGCTGGCCGCTCGGTGGGCGAGGGAGGGGTTGTAGTGGACGTGAGGTACCCCCACTATGTTGCGAGTCCAGACTAGGCGAGTCCCCCCTGTTAACAACGCAGCACCTCCAGTTCAGCACTATCTGAGGGAGTTCTTAGCTTTCTCATAACGGCCTCGGGTTTATTTAAACCTTTAATGGTTAAATGTTTTACTTCTATTTTAATCTTTTATTTTAATTTGTTATTTAACACTATGTTGCGACAAACACACGAGTTGATAAAAGCTACAGGCAAGATCGTGACAAAATAAATGTTAACCTATTAACTACGCATCATGTCAATGCAGCCAGTGCATTATTCCATCTTTCACTGAATATACCCCAGGTTATCTCATTTGGGATTTCAGTTCAGTTCAGTTAGATTTGCGAAGGCATGCTTCGCCCGGGCCTTTTCTCTAGAGTGGCCCGGCCTGTGTCAACTATTTCTAGTTAACTCATGTGTTTTCTTTGAACTGTATGCTTATCGTGGTGGCTGAATTGCAAGCAAGTGATCCAGTTGCCATGGAGTAGGATCGCTTGCTTGCAATTCAGCCACCACGATAAGCATACAGTTCATACAGATTTGGGATTTATACTGATCTTTTTATATATACCGAGTGCCCACGGGGTGTGTGTAAAACTTTGCTATACTTACTCATGTATGAGTCGTTAGGCAATATCTATGGACGCTAGCTAGCTCCTAGTTACACGCACTTTTTAGTGGGTCATGTATGAGTGGTTAGAGTGACCGTCTTACAATCACTTGCAACGGCAGCAAGGGATCGAATCCCGATCGGATAGGTTATATATGCATCATATCAATACAGTCAGTGCATTATTCTATCTTTCATTGAATACTCAGGTTATCTGATTTGGGATTTGAACTGCTCTTTCTATATATGCCGAGTGCCCAGGTGGAGTGTGTAAAACTTCACTATACTTACTCGTCGTAGTCATCCTCTGGTGTTGGCCTGCTGGACCGGGTGCAGTCGGTGAAGAAATTGTAGCAGTACGCTTGGCAGAACTCGTCAAGGACACAGGCCATAGCCAGCATGTCCGCGCGGGCCCTCATATGGAAGTCGAGCATCAGACCCATGATGACCAGATTCTGCTGAATCAGCAGAATCTGGTCATCGTGGGTCTGATGTATGAGTAGTTAGGTAATATCTATGGATGCTAGCTAGCTCCTAGTAGCATGCTCCTTTTCGTGGGTTGTGTATTCTCTGAGTAGGTTGTGTATTAGTGGTTAGAGTGACAGTCTTGCAATCACTTGCAATGGCTGTGAGGGATTAAATCCCAATCGGAGAGGTTATATATTCATATATGTATATACATATATATCTAAATATATATGTGTATATTCTATGTATGTATGCATATATATATATATTGTAGTGGTTCCTGATTGGCCATCAATCCAGAACCGCACCTGACATTTGACTGGACAACTCCTGCCTCAGAATCGCCCTAACTGTCTGAGCTAACATCGCTGATCAGGTTCGTAAGCTGCCGGACCTGA